ATAATTTATATTGATTACATGTTTAAGTCATGGTGTTTTGAATATATTAAATAAAACATTAAGATTTTTTTTTTTAATATATTTTATTGATTTTTTACAGAGAGGAAGGGAGAGAGATAGAGAGTTAGAAACATCGATGAGAGAGAAACATCGATCAGCTGCCTCCTGCACATCTCCCACTGGGGATATGCCCGCAACCCAGGTACATGCCCTTGACCGGAATCGAACCTGGGACCCCTCAGTCCACAGGCCGACGCTCTATCCACTGAGCCAAACCGGTTTCGGCGAAAACATTAAGATTTTTTAAAAATAGATTTTGTTGATTTCAGAGAGAGGAAGGGAGAGGGAGAGAAGATAGAAACATCAATGAGGAGAATCATTGATGGGCTGTCTCCTGCACGCCCCCTACTAGGAATTGAACCTGCAACCCAGGCATGTGCACTGTCTGGGAATTGAACCATGACCTGGTTCATAGGTTGATGCCCAACCACTGAGCCACACCAGCCAGGCTAGGATGTTTTATATTGGATTATCTTCCAATTAATCAATCCTCTCATGCTGTGTTCAATCTGTTAAACTCTATTGAATTGTTAATTTTCGTTATTTTATTTCTGAATTCTAATTATCTTTTTTTTAATGTAGTTTCATACACCATCTTTATTTTTTATATATATATATTTTTATTGATTTCAGAGAGGAAGAGAGACTGAATGACTGATGAGAGACTCGATGATGAGAGAGAATCATCGATTGGCTGCCTCCTGCACGCCCTCTACTGAGGGGGATTGAGCCTGCAACCCAGGCATGTGCCCTTGGCCAGAATTGAACCTGGGATCCTTTAGTCCGCAGGCTGACTTTCTATCCACTGAGCCAAACCGGCTAGGGCCTAATTAATTTTCTTTTTTTTAAAAATTTTGTTTTATTGCTTAAAGTATTACAAAGAGTATTACATATGTCTCCTTCCCCCCTCCTTGACATTCCCCCGCCCTCCCCTACCCCCCAGTGTCTTATGTCCATTGGTTATGCTTATATGCATGCATACAAGTCCTTTGGTTGATCTCTTACCCCCCCCCCCAATTAATTTTCTTAAACAGCTCAATTCTCAAGTGAAATGCCCCATCCTTTCATCTCTTTTTTTCTCTATTTTCTTGAACATGTTCATTGCAGCTATTACTAGTATACAGTCCTTGCCTTCTAACTCCAATATATGACTCGCCTATGGGTTTGTTTTTGTCACCTTTTGTTTTTATTTTCAGTCCAATGGCTCTGCCTTGCCACGCCTCGGAAGTTTCAGTTGAGAGCTGGACTTCAGCATAAACGAGGGGAGAGGCTCCAGGTGGCCTCCTCCTCCGCCAGGTGCACAGAGCGCGGCTCTCGCCGTGGCCCGCCGCGGGAAGCTGGGCAAGGTGGGGTTGTGTCGGTGAGGTGCTGTCTCACAGTGCTTCACTTCCACTTTCGTGATACCATGAAGGGCTCCCCCTGGCCAGTCCTGGTCTGTGACCCTTGTCTTCTCAGCCAGCTGAAATGGCTCTGCTCTCTGGGGTCTTTCTAGAAAGTGTCTCCTAGTTTCCTGCCTACAGTTTGAGAATGTGGCAATGACTCGAAGGAGAAACTTTCAGGCTCAGGGCCTTACTCATCCCATCTCACTGGGATCCTAGCCCCAAATCTCTACTTCTTTGTCTCCAGCCTCAAAAGTGTCCCCTGGAGTGCCCTCTGCCCTACTACTCAGTCCAGTACCCTGAGAACTGAAAGCACGCTAAAAACTGGACCCCCCAACTTTGTCTTTAGTTGCTCTCCAATTCCCTTAACCTATTTTTTCATAAATCATCCGTATAGCTGATATGGTTAAACTAGAGGCCCGGTGCGGGGGGGTTGGGGGGGAGGAGGCTACGGGGGGCTCCCTCAGCCCAGCTTGCACCTTCTTGTGAGCCCAACTTCTGGTGCACTGACCACCAGGGGACAGCTCCTGTGTTGAGCATCTGCCCCCTGGTGGTCAGTGCACATCATAGAGACTGGAGGTTCTGCTGTTTGGTCAATTTGCATATTAGCCTTTTATTATATAGGACTAGAGGCCCGGTGCACAAAAATTTGTGCACTCGGGGGGGTGGGGGGGTCCCTCAGCCCGGCCTGTGCCCTCTCACAGTCTGGGACCCCTTGGGAGATAACGACCTGCTGGCTTAGGCCCACTTCCGGGTGGCAGAGGGCAAGCCCAATCCCTAGGTGCCTGCCCTGCAGCCCCTGGTCGGGCTCAGAGCAGGGCCGATTGGGGAGTTGGGGCGCCGCCCCTGTCATGCACAGAGCAGGGTGGATCGGGAGGTTGCTATGCCACCCTCTGTCACGCTCAGGGTAGGGCCGATTGGGGGGTTGGGGCACCGTCCCCTGTCACACTCAAGGCAGGGTTGATGGGGAGGTTGCGGCGCCACCCTCTGTCATGCACAGAGCAGGGCGGGTCAGTGGGTTGTGGTGCCACCCCTGTGTGGTGCCACCCCTGTCACATACAGAGCCGGCCGATCAGGGGGTTGGGGCGCTGCCCCTGTCATGCACAGAGATGGGCCCATCAGGGGTTGGGGCTCCGTACCCTGTCACACACAGAGCAGGGCCGATCAGGGGGTTGGGGAGCTCCCCCCTGTCACACACAGCAGGGCTGATTAGGGGGTTGGGGAGCTCCCCCCTGTCATGCACAGAGCAGGGCCGATCAGGAGGTTGTGATGCCACCCTCAGTCACACTCAGGGTAGGGCCAATTGGGGGGTTGGGGCGCCGCCCCCTGTCACACTCAAGGCATGGTTGATGGGGAGGTTGGGGCGCCACCCCGTCACGCACAGAGCAGGGCTGATCAGGGGGTTGTCTTACCTTCTCTCTTCCACTCTCTCTAAAAAATCAGTGGAAAAATATCCTCAGGTGAGGATTAAAAAAATATACACACACACACACACACACACACACACACATACACACATCCTATCATGACACTTTCTGCTTAAAACCCTCCATGGATCCCAGCAGTATCCTCCTATATAATAAAGGCTAATATGCAAATTGTCCCCTTGGGAGTTCGACCACTCGCTATGACGTGCACTGACCACCGGGGGGCAGCACAGAACATGGCAGGTGATCAGCAGCGGCAACAGGGAGAGGGGGTCTGAGGGACTGAGGGAAGGAGGAGGCAGGAGACCCCCAGACCCCAGAGGAACTCATTGTATCACTTGAGCCATACCTGAGTTGGAATCTGGGCCAGGCCTCTGACTATCTGTTTACTTTGGGCAAATCCCTTAACATATATGAATTTCAATTTCTCATCCATAATGTAGGCTAATGGTGCTATCTCAAGAGTGGATGAGATGGCACAGCAGCAGGCAGAATGGCTGGTGCATAGTGGCTTGACAAATGGTCATTATTATGTCATTCATTCACCCAGCAAATCCTGGATTGGTATGTACACAGCCCTTGCTTGGGAGGCAGTCACTCCCATGCTCTCCCCTGGTCCCCCGAGACCTCTCTTTTCTGGGGATACTGGTGGACACCCAGAATCCCAATCCAATGCCAAGGAGAAGGGAGTGTCTGACCCAACCTGTGTGGGGTGGGGACGCCCAAGACATTGTCCACCTAGAGGAGGGCTGGAGTGCCAGGCAGGGTCAGACACAACCGCCGGGGAGGGGGAGGGGCCTTTGCTCAGCCGACAAGGTGGAGTCTGCAGGGTTTCAAGCAGAGGGTTGATTTGATCATACACATTAGCTCATTCTGGTTATGGCAGGAAGGATGGGCCGGAGGGCTGGAAGACTGTGGGTGCAACTGGGGCCAGGGGGACGGCGAGGCCTTGGCAGGCTCAGAGCTAAAGGCTGTAGGGCCCAGGAAAGGGTGCAAATGGGGCCCCTCCCCCAACACCCAGTGCCAAGCTCTGCTGCACCTGGGGCCTGCGACTGCTCAGGGAACCAAGGAGGGGAAACGTCTTCTGTGTCTCGGTTGTTGGATAAGTGGGACCCTTTAGAGCGCAGGGTCCCCTCTTGTCTGGGTCTAAGCGCAGAGATGTACCTGGGCTTGTGACGGTGGGCCAGGCGCCCCTGGAAGGAGGGTCCAGATAGAGGGTCTGGCCGGGCTCGTGGCCTGGGCGCTGGGTGAATGCGAGGCCTGAGGGACGGCGGGCCCTCCCGGGACCCTGCAGGGTCTCCAGACACCTAGCGCGCTGGACAACGGCGGACGGGTGCTGGGCGGGCCAGCCGGGAAGGGTGCGGGGGTTCGCAGCCAAAGGCGGTTTTGCGCGCCTCGGCCTCTGTGGCGTCAGTCGAGCACGGCGGTTGGGGGCTCTCGGGGCAGCAGCTCCGAGCGCTTTCAGGCGCCCTCCGGAATCCCACCAGGCCCGCGGGGGGGGCTACTATCGTCCCCACGGAGTCACCTGCATTCAGGCCAGCGGCTGGCCCAAGGTCACCGGGCCATTCCCGGCTGGACAGAGCCGGGGCTGCTGGCCTCGAGCATCCCGGGGGGCCCTTCGGCCTGAGGCCCCAAGTCGGCCGGCAGGAGAGCGCGGGGAAGTCGCGGTGCCTGTCAAGAGGCGGAACTCCTCTCTTCCAGCCCGGTAGTTCTCTCACCGTTGGGGACCCGGCCTCGCGCCGGCCCAGCCCCTCCGCCCAACTACAACTCCCAGGAGGCCGCGCGGCGCGGGCGGGGCCGGGAGGCAGGGATCGCGGCGGCGACGTTGGCGTCGCATCCCGCTCCCTCACTTCAGTCCCTCGCGGCGTCGGCGCTCTGGACAGAACACGGCCTGCCGGGAGGAGTAGTTTTCCCTCCGGGCGCCCTCAGGGGCCGCGCGGACGCGGGGACTCCAACTCCCGGCGTCCCCTGCGCTCCGGCTGACGTTAACGGCGGGAGGGGGCGTGCAAGGCCGAGGGGCAGCGGCGCTCAAGAGGGCGGAGTAAGGCGGGAGGGGGAGGGCGCCCACACCCCACCCCCTCCCCGCCGCTCCTTCCCCCTCCCCCGACGTAAACTGGGATCCCTTTCCCCTTGTGTCCGCCATATTGGACTCTAACTCTGGTCAGCGGCGGCGCCGGGCCCGGTGGACTCGCCGTTTCTCCCGCCCTGCGGCCACCCGGCAGCTCCCGCCCGCCCGGCTCTGCCCGCCCGCCCGGACTCGACCCCGCGCAGCGTCCCCCGCCCTCGGCCGGCCGCAGCGCTCCGCCGCCGCCACAGCCTCCCCGCCCTCCCCGCCTGCCGCCCGCCATGAGCCCGGCCGACACTAAGCGAGGGGCCAAGCGCCGGAAGAACAAGCGGGGCGGCGGCGGCGGCTCGGGCGGGGGCCACGGCGGCGCGAGCGGCGGCAAGGCCAGCCCGGCGGCGGCGCTGCGCGGCACCCAGGCCGCGGGCCTGGCGACCCCGGGCGGCGCGGCGGTGGCCAACGGGCCCCTCAGCGCGGGCGCGGGCGGCGCCGCCCCCGGAGGCTACTTCGAGGTAAGCGGCGGGGGCGGGGAGGGCGCGGGGCCGCTCCCGCGGGTAACGGGCGGCGGCTCGTGACACCCTCCCGCGGGCCCGGCATCTTCCGGGCGCGGCGCCGCCGCGCTGCCCACCTGCGCGCGGCTGTCACGGCCCCGGGGGTGGTGCCGCCTCGGCGCGCGGGGCTCGCCCTGGAGATCGCTCGCGTGCAGCCGCGCGAGCCTCAGCGTCAGGGGCGCGCGGGACCCGCCGCCGGTCGGGGCTGGGGGTCGCGTGGCCAGGCCCTCCTGCCGGCCGCGGCCACGGTCCGGCGAGGCCCTGGGGCGGCCGTCCTCCTGCTCCGGGGGGGCGTTGGGGAGCCACCTGACAGCCTCCCGGGCGGCGCGGCCCGCAGCCTGCGCGGCGGAGTTCCCGGGCTCCGGTGGGTGCGGCTCCCGCTCGGGTCGGGGCGGAGCGGTGACAGGTGACTCTCCGGCCGCGGCGGCTCCGGGGCCAGCCCCGCAGGAGGCCGGCTCCGGCGGAGGCCCGCCGTCGGCGCAGCCGTTTCCAGAAACAATGGGTTTTCTCCGAAGTTGTTAGAGCTGTCGTTTCAAAGACATTCGCGATTCAAGGGCTCCTTCCGGGGTGTCTGTGCGCCAAAGGGTGAGACAGAAATCGGTTGACGGAAGATGCAGAATATTGTGCCGGAACGGCCGTGAGGGGAGCGGCCCAGACCGGGGCCCGGGAGGCACGGGGAGGGATGCGTGCGGCGAGTCCGGCCACAGTGCGGGTCCCTGCGGCGAGGGCAGCGCAGCTGCTGGGCGTCTGTAGGTGACATGGTCGCGCTTGGCCAGGACCCTGGGCCGGACCCTGGACTCGCCTTCTCCAGCGGTTGCCCTTGTCCTGGGACCCGGAGAGCAGACGGCTGTCGTTCTTGGGGTCAGGTGAGCGCCGGTGTTGGGTTCCAGGCTGCAGGCTCCGCGCCGTGCTGGCTGCTGCTGGGGGCGGGGAGCATCTGCCCGTGGACATCCTCCGCGAAGATGGGGTCACGCTGGCTGGTGCTGGCCGTGAGCTAGAACCCATTTCATGGATTCAATAGAGGCAGGTTGGCGGTGCCGCGGAGATCCCGATGCCCGGGTTTCATGGTTCCCTTTGCTTGGCAGCATGGAGCTCAGCTCAGTCATCTGCGTCCCGGGCAGGCGCTGGCTCCCGGGTCCTGCTCTTCATCCCACGCAGGTCACAGGCAGGTTCCTAGGAGGAGAGAGCGCCAGCGCTGGCTCTTCTCAGGGGTCTCAGCCCCCCGCCTGTGTGCAGGGCGCAGCGCTGAGTGTTGGACCCGAGGAGGGCACATGGCGGCTTCTACAGAGAAAGGGGGGCGATGACATAAGCAGGGAGACAAAGCTGGGAGCGCACACTGGGAGGGATCTGTCCCCAGGCGGGTGTCAGCCTCGCTGCCTCTGTAGGTGATGTGGCACCAGCTCCTGGGGTCACCACCCGAGGGAGGTAAACAGGTGATCGCAGGGAAGGCGCTACCCGGCGCCCATGGCGCCCGGTGCTGGCTGAGTGCAGGGTCCTGACTGTTCAGGAGGCCGTGCGGGACTTGCCTGGGGACTCGCTGCAGGGTGACACTGATCACGCCTTCCCCACCTGCGGAATGGGGAAGCAGCACGGCTAGAAGCCAAGAACATGGGTCTTGGCCCGTGTGGCTCAGTTGTCTGAGTACTGTCCATGCACCAGAAGGTCCCAGGTTTGATTCCAGTCAGGGCACATGCCAGGTTGCTGGCTGGATCCCCACTAAGGGGATCAATGTTTCTCTCTCACATTGATGTTTCTCTCTTTCCCTCTCCCTCTTTCTCTCAAATTAGTTAAAAAAAACCATGGTCATGGGTCATGACAAGGCCTGTGCGAACAGCCTGTGTGGTAGGTGTCCCCCAAATGGAAAGTTGGTGGATGAAGGATATCATGAATATATGTTACTATTTTGCATTTCTCTTTTAAAATGTGATTTTTATAGTATTCATGCTGTATTAAGTGAAGAAAGCAGCTTACAAAATATAAAAGTTTATGGACCCATTTTTTTTTTTTATCCTTATCCAAGGATATTTTTTCCGCTGATTTTTAGAGAGAGTGCCAGGGAGGGGGAGAGAGAGGAATATCTGTGTGAGAGAGAAACATCAATTGGTTGCCTCCTGCATGCGCCACATACAGCCTGGTGCCAGGGAGAGCCTGCAACCCAAGTACATGCCCTTGACTGGGAATCTAACCCTTCTGTCAGCAGGCCGATGCTCTAACCACTGATCAAAACCGGCCAGGGCTGGACCAATTTTTTTTTAAATGTGTTTTTATTGATTTTGGGGAGAGGGAGAGAGAGAGGGGGGCATGGAACAGTTGCCTCCTGCATGCCCCCTCCTGGGGATCAAGCCTGAAACCCAGGCATGTGCCCTGACTGGGAATCAAACCTGTCACCTCCTGGTGAATGGTTTGATGCTGAACCACTGAACCACACCAGCTGGGCTGGACCCATTTTTGTAAATACCTGTGTGTGTGTGTGTGTGTGTGTGTGTGTGTGCGCGCACACGCTCGCTCAAGCTTTAACCCTAGCTGGTTTGGCTCGGTGGACAGAGCGTAGACCTGTGAACTAAAGGGTCCTGGGTTTGATTCCGGCCAAGGGCACATGCCGGGGTTGCCCGCTCGATCCCTGGGGGCGGGGGGGCGGGGGGGCGTGCGGGAGGCAGCCGATCATCATTGATGTTTCTATCTCGTCTCTCCCTCTCCCTTCCTCTCTGAAATCAATTTTAAAAAATTAAAAAATAAAAAGACTCAAGCTTTAAGGTTTTTCTACAGTGAATATTACTTAGCAAAAAAGGGAATGATGCTTTCACAAACTGGTATTACCAAAATTTTTTCTTTTTCAAATAAAACTAATTTGGCTATTTCTGTGTTTTAACAGTTAAACATATAGGTATTTTATGAAAATATTTAGACCATCAGAATTATTTTCTGAATGGGTGTGCAAAATTAAGTGATATACATATTTATAAAAGTCAGAATTTTTCTATTATGGTAATTGTCTCATGCCACTAGCTGTTGGAATATCAAATTACATACACTTTACACTCATGGAGGATTCAAATAGGAATTAAGGGCTATTTTTGTAATGCTGTTAGAGATTTATAAAAGGAAGCCATTTGGGGTAGGGATCGAAGTACATTTTAAAATAGCAATATTAAAGTTTTGAAGTCAGAGAAACGTGGTAGTGTAGGGGGCATTTGTAATAACACGGGTTCTTTTTCACTGCTGAAAAGGTGGCAAGATGGAGATAATGTTAATAATGTTTAAAGCCATCAAACAGTGTATTCTATGGTGCCGTCATGGATCTTGGGGTGCACTTAGAGGCCTTTTCTGTGTTGTAGAAATTGCTCCCATGAGAAAACGAGGTTCAGTCCTAACTCCAGTTCATATTTGCCTTAGTGATCTGGGAGTAGGTCAGAGAAAGAGCTAGAAGAGAACCGCATGTGCTTTAACTGAGATCAGTAATTTGTACAGCTGTGGAGCACGTCTGTGACTCAGTGTTGTATCTGTACCCATATAACCACTGTCTCAGGACATAGACGAGTCCTAGTGCCTAGAATCCCCCCTTGCTCCCCTCAATAAAGACTTTGCACCATTATTCTCACGTTTCGCCTGTTTTCAAATTTCATGTAGAAGTCCCCTGTGCCGATGCTGTGTGGCTTCACATTCCATCCGAAACGTGTCCGTGTTACTGATGGAGCAGTCACCGTTGTTCTTCATGGTGCCGTTGTCCGCTGTGTGGGTATTCACAGCTTATCCGTCCTAGCATGGATGGGTGTTTAGGTTGCTTATTTTAAGGCGGACACGAATCAAGCTGATATGCACAGTCCTGTACGTGGCCTGTGGTGGGCATGAGTACCTGTTTCAGTCCAGAGTGGAGTAGCTAGGTATACACTTAGTTTGACTTTATGCTGTCAGACAATTTTTTAAATGGTTTTATTGTCTGCTAATTAAAAAAGGAACATGTAATAGCATTGGTATTTGAAAGTGTACAGTTCTTTGGATTTAGACACGTACATGGATTTATGTATCCACTACCACAGACAGGATACAGAGCAGCGTGGGCACCTCATGCTCCCTGAACCTTTACACTCTTCCCACCCCTAAGTTCTTGCCAGCTGGTACTTTGTTACTATGGTTTTGCCTTTTAGAGCAGTCATATAAATGGAGTCTTGGGTGTGTAATTTTTCGAGGCTGGTTTATTTCACACAGCATAGTCACTTTGTGGTTCATTTGTTGCATGCATCAGTGGTGTGTTCCTTTTTACTGCTGAGTAGTATTCTGCCGTGTAAATATACCACAGTGTATCCATTCTCCTGTGGTGGTCATTGGGGTTCTCTCCACATTTTGGTGATAGTAACCAGGTCTTATAAACATCTGTGCACAAGTCTTTGTGTGAAAGTGAATTTTCATTTCTCGGTGGTGTCTACCCGGCAGTGGGAGCTCTGTTGTGTGGAAACGTAAGAAACCTCGGAGTGGTTCTCCAGAGCGACTTACCATTGTGACTTCCACCGGCCACGCGTGAGTTCTGGCTTCTCGGCATCCTTGTAGCACTTGACGTCGGCAGTAGTTTTTATGTAACCAGTTTAATGGATGAATAGGTGTGCAGAGGCATTGTGGTTTCAATTTGTATTTCCCTATTTATTACTACTGATAGTGAACACTTTTCATGTGTTTATTTGGTTATTTGACATTCTTGTATCTTCTAGGACAAAGTGTTTATTCAAGACTTGGTTTATTTAAAAAGGAAATCCTACTGGAAGACATGCTTCGAGAGAGAAAGTGGGGGGCGGGGGAGAGAGAAACATCAGTTGCCTTCCTTACGCCACTGGGCGTCAAAACCGCCACTCATGTGTGTGCCCTGACGGTCATCGAACAGACCACCTTCTGGCGCACAGGACGACGCTCAGCCGCCTGAGTCAGTCCGGCCGGGCCAGGCTTTCCTTATTTTAAATCAGGTGGTTTTC